AAAAAGGAAAAAAAAAAGGCTAACCATGTGACGAATGCATGAAAAGTGGAAATCCCCTCCCAAACGGTTACATTATATTCCTCCTCAATTATGCCATTTCTCCGCGTGGTACATATTGGCGTAAAAGCACCTTTTGGATAACCCACCTCCTGATGCTTCACAGTCACTTCTTCTTGCTCGTTCGGTACTTAATTTGCGGCACGGCGGAGAGCTTTACAACCTGAGTGCTTCCGCTAGTTGCCTTCATACAGTCAGCGACAAAGGAAGACAAGTTGGCGAAGTGCTCAAAATTGTCGTTGTAAAAATATCCATAGTAGTTATCCTTCTCCCCTTCACTCGAATTAAAAAGACAAAGCACATGGATATCCCGTTTTTTATTGTAAGAGGAAAACACCTCATCACTAAGTTTGAGCAAAAACTTCCTGTTGTCAAGAATCATAGGACTTACATCAAAATATTTATTGTTAACAAAAATGTCGTTAATATAATTATACTTTATACTCCTATCTGTGATATGAATTCCAGAAATGAACAGAATACATTTTTTATTTTTATTCAGACATTTGGTTTGAAATTGAGGAAATTTTGAAAAAAATGGCACACTGAATATTAATGCTTCTCTCACAAAGGATACGAATTTTTTTTTATTATTCATCATGTTGAGTGTAATCGGTTTTGGTTTCCTTCCGTAGCAAACAACGAAGGCCTTCGTCTTGGGATCCATAGCGAAACGCTCATAGACAGTCTGCTTGCTCGGCAGTAAACTGTTACAGTTAATAATCGCAATGTTCAGAATATCTGGAAAACTGGATCTGCTGGAATTAATCACTGAGTGAATGGTCTCCTGTTTATCATTTTTGCAGTAAACAAGGTATGGCTTGTTGCTGAAAAAGATTTCCTTCAATTTGTCCGTATCCGACACGTCAATATATTTGAAATGGTAAAAGTACGTGTGATAAAACTGTAGCAACATTTGGAAGAAGCCACTAAAAATTAAAAAAATTATAAATAGGCCGATAAAAAAGGAGTACTTATATTTGCTCTTAACTTTGTTATCTAGAATGTATTTTACATAGTTGAAGGCAACTTTGATAAAATTTTTTTTTTTTTCCTTTTCCCCATCAGGGGCGTCATTTGTGCCTTCCCCCACCCCTCCTTTCCTGCTCCGCAAAATGTTCATCTTTTTCTCAGCTGTGTGATAAGGCCACTTTTTTTTTTCTTCGTGTTGGGGTGCACTTCCTCGTAAACAGGAGTGTGTCTATCCGGGGAGGCGTCTGTTTTAAGAAGAATCTGCGTAACGAGAGCCTTCCGTTCAGTGGTGCAGAAGGGGTCTCTTGATTCATGCGGAATGACTTCGGGGAGCGCCTTCGCAGAGTGATTGTCAAAATGTATATGTCTGCCTGTGGATCTTTGCACTCGTCGCAGTGTTTTTTCCCTCAACAGGTTTCTATCTATATGTATGTTCCGATATGTTTCCCTATATGTGTCTCTATATGTGTACTCCTATTATGCACATCGGAATGTTCGCCCGGGGTGATGGTGGCCCCTCCCTCTTCGTCAAACGGGATCTCAACACCCGAATGCGACGCTGCAATTAGGACCCTCCCACAAAAATTAGACCTCTTAAGAATTGTTCCCAACTGTGTGAACGTTCTCCTTTTAGCATTTACTTTGGGTTTAGTAAGGCCCAGTGGTGTAGCTTTCTTCTGTTTCGCCCTCTACGTTTTTTCCTACTTCTTCCGTTTCTCCTTCTTCTTCTCCCCCTTCTTTCCCTTAAAAATGGCCGCTTACCCTTTATGCGAAGGCAAAACGGCTCAGTCCGCTTTTACTCTGTTGAGATTACGCCGCGACGATTTCCCATGTACATGTTTCTGCTGTTAATCTGGCAGGGCTCTGCTCCATCACCGAGGGGTTATCTTTACCCATATTTCTGTTTAACTGTCGCCCCAAGGAAAACTCCAGGAGAAGAGCGAATCTCACATTCGTGACTTCCGAGTGGAGTACTGTACTATTTGGCAGACAATAAACTTACGACCCCTAAACTTTGAAAAGGCGAAAGTTTCTTCACTGGTCCAAAAAGGACACAATTGGAAAAGAACTATTCGGTCGATACGATGAAGGGAGAAAAGGAAAAAAAAAGAAAAAAGAGAAAAACAGAACAAAACAAAACACCAAACAAAAGGAATACAGATTTGCAGGGTAAACAGAATTCTCTATCATGTACAAGTTTATGTTTGCCTTCCCCCTTTTTAGGCACAGAATATTTTAACCAAGTGTACTTTTGCTCCAAGGGTGCCTCTGCCGAGGGGAAGAAAAACATATACAAATGTATAGAATTGGGGAGGACGCAACTATATTGGCATACCACAATGTGGTGGCCCATTGATTTACACAGTTCTGTTTCGCCAATTGATGAGCTATAAAAAAAAAGAAGGTTCTAAAAATGTGCTAGCCTTTTGGGGGAAGCGTGGAAGCGTTTTTCTTTCTTTAGCCCAGTACGGTTTCACCCAACTTGGAAGGAAATGATCGCCTTCTTTTTTGGATAATAATTGATGTGATTCGGAAAAAAAAAGAAAAAAAAAAAGAAGAAGAAGAAGGAC